CCCCGCGAATCGCTAGTGTGCGCGTGTCATATTGTGAAGAATTCATTATTTGAATTTACGATACTCGCCCTTTCATTCGCCCTCAATGAATTGGAATTTTCATACACATATTTACACTGAGAAAAAACGTGTAAAAAATAAAATATATTCGGTGAATGCTAATAAGATATTTGCTTATGCTAATATATAATATATATTTTTTAACTTTAAAAAATTTTTTTCAAATGGTAAAATATATATTTTCTTAAATCTGTTCTTTTACACAAAGAAAATTATTTATTTCATACGTATTTAAATAACAAATTTTGATTTCAATAAATACATATGAATGTGCACCGAATAAATATTGTTTTAAATTCTTTTTATTTTTCTCTCTGTGTATGCTAACAAATTGTAATGTTACCTCCAATATGTTGGTCAATAACACTGTGCTAAATTTATGTTAAATTACAGACTGCAATGAAATGTTAATAAATGAATTCTTTTCGTGTAGCTTGAGAGGTCCTTACGAGAAAATCGTCCGCGTCGCACGAAAGTCTGGCGCGAAAGATTAATAGCGTCGGCGCGAAAATAAAAGATCAGACGGGATCGCGAACAAAAAGGAGCGCCAATTACGAACTAATGCGAACTAGCTGAAATGATTCTACCGAAAGAGAGTCGCCCGTAGATATCCACAACTGGGCCCCGAGACTAAGCTCCGTATATGTGGAACGATACTTTTTTAATAATCGGATCATCGGGGGAGATACCCTTAATCCGTACATCTCGGGGGCTTGAGTAGCGCCGGTAAATAAATAATGAAGTTTGTCAAGATTCGCTCGTAAATTGCTCAAGGTGTGGCGCGTCGAATTATTCTCGACGAACGAGTAATGGGCTGTCCGTGATTTACGACGCATCCCGTCTTCCCCGGGGACGACAGATCGACGACGTGCTTTCTCCCTTCATTGTGGGAACTTGTGAGCGGTTGGCATCGACGTCGCGATCGCGTCGAGACGACGAGACGTGTGCGGTAAACCGTTGAACCGTCCCCGTGCATCGGCATTTGTCATCCCGGAGCGGTTTATTTCATCGTCCCTCTTTTTCCCTCGCGCGCGCAACCCAACGTTTGATCCGCTGAACTTAGCGAACTGTTACGAAACTCAAGTACCGACGTTGTATAGGAACTACTACCGTCCTCGTCATACCCGCCGCCGGCTGAAAATCCCGACGATTCCGTCTGTTGATTTTTCATCGACGCGGTATTCTTGAACGGATACTCTTGTCTTCACCTCACGTTGAGCGACGTCACAGTGTTCCGTTTATTTCTTGGTATTCCGCGACTCTTCCGCGCCGAATGATCCAGTTGCGGTCTGTATTAATCAATCCGGCGGTTGCATCGCGGGACAACGTTAGGAATCGCGATCTCGGACAATTCCCAAGACGCCTAGTCATAGTGGGTGTGTTACGACGTTGCTTGAAATCGAAAGGACCGGTCGTCGTAGTTCATCGCCGACTGAAGCCGCATCTAAATCGCTTCAGACGCTGCGGAAATAAATTCGGGCAAAATCAAAGAATTTACGATCGCGTCGGCACGACCGCCGTCACCGCGACAACGTTCTGTCGTAAATCGCGCTGCACGAGCGGTAATTACCACTCCCGGTGAATATTCCGACATCGGAGGGGGGTGGGCGAGGGAGAATGTTATACCGAAAACGGGTCCGGGGTGCTTTTGAAACGAGAGTAGTTAATTGCGTAGGTTGAAATCGGCGTCGCCGAGAGAGAGAGAGAGAGAGAGAGAGAGAGAGAAAACAATATATATTGTTACGTCCCGTGTAGACAGGGACGCGCGACGGGAGCGGCTCCGTCACGCTTAGCGCCTTCTTAGCCGGGGCGGAGAAAGGCGGGAAGGTTTACGCATGGTTCTGTGGTAGAATCCCGGAATGAAAGGGGTTATTCGAGAAAGAAACGGAAACAAAATGAACGGGGACAAAATAAACAATATAATTTATTGTGTTCTCGCGCAATTCGAACAAATTAAATCGAGAATGGCAACGTATAAATTATGAAGCTGGTTGTGCGCACGAAGTCGGCGGTATTATTCAATAGATAGAGCATTTACCTTATTGTAGAGAAAAGAAGGAGCCTGGTTGCAGGGCAGAGTTTCGTCCGTCGTTTGTTTTTATTGGTAGCGTCACACCACCTTGGCTGTGGTGCTTTCCTTGAAACGAGATGGACACTGAGAGAATTTTCACTCCGACTCGCGACTGACTTGTTGACGACGAAGTCAGTAGAGTTTGCACACCGCACTGACGTTAAAAGACTGAGAGTTGGTACTGAATAATTGGTACTGACTGTCCTAAAGACGGGGCCTTTATTTATATGTTCGTCTTGGACTCCCTCTTTCTTCTATAACTGTGTAGCTTGCATTTTTGGTGGGAACGTCAACGGACTTGGTGGTCCACGATGTCCTCAGGTTTATAAGATAGGGCACGAAACGGATCATGCACATCCGTTCTCAGAGAGCGAAAAAAATTTAGTTTATCTAAATAGTACGTAATGTTAAAAAAAAAGTCGCATAACATAACTTATTTCATACACCGGGCATGATCGGTGGGGCAATACTTCAGCTATTCAGCGGCAGTGACTGCCGGATCTAAGTTAATTGAATTTAATAAGCTCGAAAAACGGTNGGGGCAATACTTCAGCTATTCAGCGGCAGTGACTGCCGGATCTAAGTTAATTGAATTTAATAAGCTTGAAAAACGGTAGGTAGAAGGTGTGAATTATTTTAATGATACGAAATATAGCAACGATACGGTCGGAACTACAACAAAAGTTATAATTTGGAAGAAACGGTACGATGTCAACAGGCGACTACCGGGATGAAAGAAGAGTGTAGGGAAGGGAGAAAAAAAAATAGAAGTGTGATAGAAAAAGGGAGAAGGAGGGGGGGTTCCGGGGGTACCTCGGGACGTAACACCCCCATCCTTAAAAAGAGCGTAGCAAGGCGAAGCGGTTGAGGCCTGGCGAGTAGGGTCGCAATGATGATTTGAAGTTCATCGTGTCAAGGCGGTTGGGAGACATCGGCTAAGGCTGGGGGTCGTTGAGTAATAAGAGTACTGATTATTCTCTGTCGATTCGAAAGAAAAAAAGGACGTGTCATTTCTTGCCATTGACATATCAAGAAGTTATCTTAACACTTTTATGCTTCAGTGTTTTCTACGAAGATCGTAGGTAAGTGTAAGCAAGTAGCACAGAAAGTGTTAAATTTCCATAAGACTCCTCTTTCCTCGCTTCCACCGTCTTCATTAATGACACCAGAAATAGGAAAATATACGTTCAAAATACTCTCGCAAAATACTGTTGAAATAGAGGAAGATAGGTTTACAAAATGACACTTGTGATCGATTCACATCGAGCATATTTGCAAAATATTCTGAAAAATTTAACCTCGATAAAAATATTTTAGAACTTAGACCGTGACATGTAACTTACCTTTTAATCACACGATCTAGTCACGTTAGTTTTTTTTCAGTTATTATCGGAACCAAAGTTTTCGAAATATTTTACAAATATGTCCAATTAATCATAAATATCATTTTATGGACATATTTCTGTTATCTTAACACATTTCGCGAGAATTTTTGGTGCGTTTTTTCGCTTCTGACGTCATCAGTCAAGATGACTGTGGCAGAGGACCAGGAACCTTAATTTAGAAAAGCAATTAGCAGAAATTAAAGTAAAACTCTTCACTCACTGTTCCAAAGAACAGCTCGGGAGTCATTGGATCTCCTACCAGGTTCCTCAGACTCTATATGGGCACAAATGTCATAAAATATCCATGATTAATATCGCTTTTACAAGCATGAAGCATGTCACATTCGATCTGTAACATGGTTTGCAGGACGTGTGATTCCATATACTTACTAGAAGGTGGTGGCAGATTGTAATTCGGAATACATGGTGGTGGTTTATAGTACGAAATATGATACGAAGGTATGGCAAGTATTGGTGGTGGACTGAGTGTTCTCTTGGAAGATCCCTGAAGTAATAAGAAACTGAGACATATTCAATTACAATCAGAAAACACTCGAGACATTTAATCTAATATTTCCAGCTTTCATAAAGTATAGACACTTTTAATTTGGCTTTCGAATCGGTGGCGTATTCATAAGTTTATTTTCAACAAATTTATTTTCATTAAAACATCAAAAAGAAATCCACAAAGAATACTTCACCAATCCAGAAACCAAATTAAGTAGAAATACTTGAGTTTAGCTAAAATATAAATTAAAAGTTAAATATATTTGAACCGAATTAAATCTGAATGATCAAAATGATGAGAATGATCTGAATGGTCTGAATGATCTAAATGATCTGAATGATTTGAATGGTCTGAATGATCTGAATGATCTAAATGATCAAAATAATAAGAATGCGAGTGATCTGAATAGTCAAAATGATGAGAATGACCAAATGAATTCCTCACAGTTGTTAATACTTGTGGCCCAACAACACTGGCTTCATACTGGGGGCTAGTGCTTCGTGCTACCGGTAAGAATAGTTGCGAATGTGTTACTTTAGTATTCATTGCCGAATATCCCCCTACTGTCAATACTTTTGAGCAGATACTAGAAAATTAAGACATAAGAAAATCAATAATGTCGCACTTGTAATTATCAAACTTTATATTTGGTCTCTTCTTTCGAGCTGAACTGGCTGTACTAGCTGTACTAGGTAGTTCAAGAAATTCACATATACTGAAGCATGAGAATCTTGCACATATATTTCATACACTTCAATATGTATGCAAATTTTTTGAACTAGTACAGCCAATTCAGCTATAAAGAACAGAACATTCATCAGAGATTGCAATCAGCATAATGAACAAACCTATTCTCCTTCACATGCTGTCGTTTTCTATTTTCTTCCTCAAGCAGAACTCTCTTTAGTTCTGTAAATAAGTCACGCTTGTCCTTATGTAATTTCGACAGCTCTTCCTGCAGACTAGAGAGCTGATCTCGTGTCTCGCCCAATGTCATTACATCTCGTTTCTGTTGGTGTTCCCTCTCCTTGCGCAAACGTTCTTCTTCTTCATCAGCCTCTTGTTCTGTAGTAAAATATACAATGGCTTGAAATAAACAGTATAAACCAAGGGTCTGTTCTTTTCAGCTGTATCTTCTCTATTTAAAACAGATTATGTATATGTATATATTTCACAAAAAAAAAAAAGGAAAGATGCACATTGTGAGAAAGTTGAGCAAATAGAAAAAAAAAACAGGATTTCAAGCATTACGTAGGTTATGTCAAAGAGAGCCGATTTTCTCGCCGCAACTTTTATCTTACCTTGTTTCTTCCGTTGTCGCTCTCGCATGATATGATTCTTTAATGCCTGCCACATTTGTTCATTGCGCTGAAGTGTCTCTCCAACCAGTATCGCTGGCATTTTCTCGACTTCACAGTTTATTCTAACCTTATCCACTTCTGTCTGACCGCTGTGTCAAGCTGAATTATGTCGCTTACCTCCACAATCGTCTCCTTCTTCTTCTCCTTGTGTAGATATTAATAACTTTTAATTCAGCTTTTTACACAAAAACTCTTGGAAATTACAGCTAGTTGTGTATTCAAACATACTGTCTTGACTGTCTCGTGATAATAGCCGCGTTGATATGAAGCGCGTTCAACTCAATTGCACAGTGTCGCCCTTCCTGAACTCAAAGTGAAGTAAACGGATGTTTAAACATCGGAGGGAAAATTGAAGAAAAGAGTACGGAAATTGCAGCTGGAAAGAGTAGAGCAAATGCGACCAGGAGAAGAAGTAACAAGCCGTATCAACGTGGCTGACAAGTATTATAAAATATAATTATTATAGAATATATATCTAGGAAACACATCAAAATAATTATAAATCGTAAAATTGTTACTGCTTTATCAATGAAACGTTCATATAGATTAGACGAAAAGTACGGTCAAACAGTCGGTACAAAAGTCGATAATGTCAGCGCTCTTCAATTATCAACCTCAGCTTGTCAGATAATCATGAAAATTTATTCAGCGTTTGCGAAATACGCCAACACGGCGCAACTGTCGCCGACTCGTTTTCTTTGAAAGATGGAGAGTCAATTTGTAGTTTATCATGGATGTATTTTGTTGAATAGATTCAAACTTCAAGATTTCAATATTACATGATTTGTATAATTATCCTGAGAAAAAGTGAAATAATAATAGACATAAAATGAGACCGAACGATTACGATTAAAGCAGGTATATATGTTGTATAAAGAGTGTTATTTGCAATGTTCGACAGACCCTGATATAATAAACAATCATTATTTATATAACGCAAATATTATTGATTAGTATGAATGAATGTTCTTCATGTAATATAATATTATACCGTATTTATTTATCATTATTAGATCTGTCTGAAGTAAATTTTTACTATTTATTAGCTATCACACTTTCATCATGTTGCACGAGATCTTACTGTCATTATGGGGTTGCTCGACCAGTGTATCACAGATAATAGAAATAGACGTAAGATCATATTATATCACAGAAAATTAAAACAAAGTGCTAAAAGGCTAAGTTGAATACTTAAGATACATATAAGAATGATATATATACATTAATAGTTAAGAAAGGATTAAATAATATTTATGCATGATTCATTAATGTTTCCTTTATAGTCTGTAGATCTTGAGAAATACTTACATCCTGGAGAACGAGCGCTGCTCAATAGGATATTAGATATAGTAAAAGAATGCAATATCATAAGAGATTTTATACATGAATATAGAGTATACGACCAAGATATAAAAGGTAAATCTCAAACGATATTCAAAGTTTGATATAAAATATCTTTGATATGTTACATAATTAACTATGTTTTGCAGAAAATGAAGCTCCTGGCCTGTATATTCGTGCCCTGTGCGACGGAATGGACCAGGCACTAGAACCATTTCGCGAAGAAATAATTGAGCTGGAAAGTACAGTCTTGAACAACAGTCATACTCCTCTGTCACTAATTCTTTGCAATGTTGAAAAGTACACTTGCTTGTTCTCTGTTTTGCATTCTATCATTCGTGAGGTAACTATACATTCTTCCTTTGAAAGAAATCTTGCATTAATCATTTTTGTATGCTTATCAACACATTGACTTAATTATTTTAATTACCTGCATTCTTTTGTTCCAGATTCGCATGCAGAAATTACACGGTTGTAAATTGTTACAGTGCTTACACCAGCGCATGCACACTGGCGTACCTAAGATCAACTCTGCTTTGAAGTTGTAAGAAATTTTTAACGAGATCCTGAACAGTTACCAACACATTATTTTCGTCTATCGATTTTCAGAATGGCCCATAATATTCACATCGTTTTCTACAAGCATCTGACAAGCTGGCTATTGTATGGACAATTGGAAGATGTTCACAGAGAGTTTTTCGTACAAAAAGTATCAGACTGTGATAGAACTTTAGTGCACATAAACAGCAAAAACGATATTGATGTGCGTGACTTGTCGACTAGCAAGAAATCGTCCGATGTCGATATGTGGGACTACAATGTTCAGATCAACATGCTTCCGTCTTATATCAGGCCGTCGTTGGCCAGCAAGATCTTGACCATTGGTCAGACTGTTATCATGTTCGGAAATGATCCCAGACAGAAAAGAGGTAATATCCTTAGAAGATCGGCTTCAAGTTCCTCGCAGGACGCTACTTTATTATCGGTATTATCAAAGTATAAAAATTACACGCGGAAATATTCTAATTAGTCTCGATGATTCAGATTTCAGCATGACGCCCAAAACGGAGAACTCGGTGTGGGGCGACAAGGAATACGAGTTCTTCAGGAAACTTCAGAATCTCCAGGCGAAGCCCGTCTTCAACATCGTCGATTTCGATCGCACGATCAACGAGCTGAAGCAGTGCGTAACCGAACTACTGTGGCATATCGCTGTGGAAGACGCGCAACTGATGCAACAGCTCAGGCTGGTGAAGGAGTTCTTCTTGATGGGACGCGGGGACCTGTTTCTGGAATTCATCAAACTCACAGCCCACATCCTGAGCAAAGCTCCCACGAGTCACACATCCAGGGATATTAATCTAGCATTTCAGATGGCACTGAGGAAGATGCATCTGAACGACGAGAGCGCGATCGACAGCTTCAACTTCGCGGTGCCCGTGCCCCCTGCCGATAACGAAGATACTGACACGGACGCCACCGATTTTCCTGACAACGAGAGGCAGGATCCTAACGGTGTGTGTGTGTGTGTGTGTGTGTGCTTGCAACGATCAATCGTCGCGTTCCCTTTCCAAGAAATGTTTAAAGGATGTTGAAATCGTGTTGTTTCTTCAGAGAAACGTGGCTGGGGCACGATAATCCTGAAGTACAAGGTTGTCTGGCCATTGCACTTGCTGTTTAGCCCGGCCTCATTGAGTGACTATAACACTCTGTTTCGCTTTCTGTTGAGAGTCAAGAAAACGCAGATAGACCTGTGGAGTCTATGGAGCGAACACATGCATCACAAAAACATGTGAGCGATATTGATTGAGATTGAATTAGAGGCGAATTAAGAGTCTCGTTATCCGTGATTTTCTCGCTCACCGCAAGCGTTCGTGATTGCAGAGACATCGGCGTGATCCAACTGAGAAATAATTTGATCTTCATTGTCGACAATTTGCAGTATTATCTGCAAGTGGATGTGGTGGAGAGTCAGTATACTGTAATGGAGGCGAGTATGAAAGGCACGCGGAATTTCGAGGACATACAGAAGGCACATTCTGTGTTCCTGGCTAACGTCATGTCGCAGACCTTTTTGTTGAGCAGCGGAGCGGGAAAGAAGAATCCAGTAAGTCCAAAATTAAAGTTACTCATGAAACTTAAAATTGTACAGACACGATGTTGTCTAATTCAACAAGTCATTTTTGATGAGAATTTGATGATAGGTTGATTGAAAAATTGATAAATAAAGTTTGGCACATCAAAGAGATTTCTACATTGTTGCATATATATTACGATATATTTATTAAATGATTTTTTTTTCAGGTGAACAAGTTGATACATCTTTTGTTAAGGCTATGCGACGACTTCATCCTGCAAGCGTCCATGTGGGAAGTTGGAAATTTACTCTTAACGGAGAAAGAAGAGCTCAATACGTTATGTGAGACTTTGGACAGTGTAATGAATTGGTTGACGAAAGCGTTGAACAAAGTGCGTGCGCAACCCAGTGGCGAACATTTAGCTCGTTTAATATTGAGGCTCGATTTCAACAGATGGTTTAGCAAAAAAGTTTGAAGGAAGTGATGTGTATAACAAATTGTGTAAACAAGACACCGGGGGAAGGAGATTATAGTACGTTCTTCTTCTAAAAATTGACACATTGAATCTCCTGAAAATTCAAGTAAATGGATTCGGAAAAGGAGAATTATATAATTTATCGAAAATTCATGTCGTTGATACTTACAAGCTCTTTTTCTATAAATCGTTTTGTTTCGGATGTACTTCCTCAAACTTATATTTTCTTACATTAATAGATAATTAGTACAATCGACTGATTAATTGAAACATAATTAAATTCAAACTAAGGTCCATAATGAATCATTTTGTTCCAAGTGGATCTTAAATTTAATTTTCATAGTTTCAGTTGAGCTTACATTTTTATTGTTTAAAACGTGAATGATCGAGTAATTAATTTAGCTTCAATGTAGTTGTTAAAATGATGTTCTGTACGGATCATCGCATTCTCGAATGTTCGCGAAATACTAATAGCATCTCGAGAAATTATATGTGCGTTCATAACGCGGTATATATTATAACAACATACTTATTAATCTTTTTTCTTAAATCTTAATTATTTTATCATCGCAATAATAAACGTTAAAAACGCTTTACGATTATGAGTTATATATAAAATGATAGTTTTTAAACATTAAGGCGAGTACTCGGCTTGAGATCTTTAAAAATTAGCGTTATCGCTAAATATATTTCATTAGAGGAATGTTTATGTTGCTCCCATTAGATAAGTATGCAAAGTTCTTAATCGCTGTCGTCGTTGTAATCATCATCTTCGTACCCGAGTTTAGCGTCGGATTCATTTTCAATTCTTGACCACGACTGTAGTGCGCTTTTGACGGACGCGTCCGACGCCAATTCTTCCGCGGTGAAACCGTCTTTGTTCCGCAGCTTCAGATCCGCCAAGTGTTCCATTAGTAAGTGTACCATCTCCAAGTGTCCATGACTCGCTGCCACGTGCAGTGGCGTATCACCCATTTTGTTCTGCAATTAATGGAAGACATCAAAGACATGAAATTAGGGAAAATAAAGAGTCAAAACAATACGTCGATGTAACGTGAAACAACGTAGTAGTGAATACATAAGGTCCGCACTCATGCGTTTAAATTTCATTAAATATTTTGCTGTCGTTAAATTATCTAATTGCAGCTGCACTTAACGGAAGGTAAGTGTAGGAAAGTAACTGAATAAACGATAGAGGCATAGATCTCCGAGTTTTCCCACTCATATTGTCACTACCTGAGCGTTCACCGGAGGATTTGCCAAATCGAGGAGCTCCTTTGCGCATTCTGTATGGCCGGTGCGCGCTGCCCAATACAACGGCGTATTCCCGGCCGCGTCTAGACCGGTCCCTGATAAGTCATGGTTTAGGTATTCTTTTAGAAAGGAAACGTTGCCACGTCTCGCAGCATCATGTAATGGTAACTCAATTTCTTGTGTTTGCTCTTCGACTGGTAAGATAAGAGATAATGGGAATTAGGCAATATTTAGAGAATAAATTGGTACTATATAATCTCTCTAACCATAGGCGACTGGCACAAGTCCCTTTTGGTTTCCACATTTGGCTGTCCACCAGTTTGGATCTGCATCTCTATCATTTAAGTAAAGAAGATCGCCTTCGTCGAAAGATAATTCCTTTTCCTGTAAAGAGAATCATTTTATGAGCATATTGTGATCACAAATGTAAATAGGATATTTTATTTTATTTTTTTTTGTTTGATAGGTCGGCTGTATGAGAAATGTACTTACATGTTGTGCGGTGTACTTGCGCAGTGCCCTGACCACTTTCACCTTTCCTTAAAGATAGTACATGATGTTAATATTGACAAATATATTGACTATTATATTAGAAATGAATATTATAAATTGATTGCAAATATTAATATATTATACAAAGGATTATTTAATTAAAAATTATTAATTTTCTTAAATTTACATCATTGTAACATTTTATTTAGTCAGAATAAATCAATACAAACATTCATTTAATAATTGTAATGCAACTTTTACAAATTTTCTTAAACTGTCACTTTTTTTGTAATTTTCAACACAAAATATACCCTTTAGAGTTTTCTTGAGATAAATTGAAGCATTGGATCAAGGTGCATCATATAACCTCAAAATTATATATATGTTACATTTTTTTATTGAACTTCAAGAACTTAAGTATAATTAATATAATGTATAAATACATCATTCTGTAATACATAGAGATATATATACATACAGAACCATATGTAAACATGTCAGAGATTTTTATCATTAATTAGTAACCATCACTCAGTCAAAAGATAAGGAATGCTCCAGGAACTTTATAATGATCCTAATTATGTATCAAACCATCTATGAGTCACATTGAAAGTTACTGGATAAAGTCATTAACTAATATATCACTGTTTTGTAATATTTACCAGGTTTCCAAGCGGTTTTGGGTGGTGCAGGTGTATTTACAAGATTACTCATGACTGTGCAGCCCCTATCATCATAATAACAACCCAGTGACTCACACAGCCATGTTGGCCGCAATACACAGACGTCTTACACTTGTCATCGACATGTACATTTTTAAAAGGTATGAATCATTACCTAAACTCTCTTCCTCGCCACTTTCATGAATAGCACCATATCTGCAAAGAGCAGATTAACTTAGACAGCAACTCAATATTTCTATAGATATGTGGTACATATTAAACATGTACATGGTGCAAGTTAAAAATTAACATAGGAGGAAAAACGACGAAATTCCAAATGAGTTATCTAAAAGAAAAAAAAAAACAGAGTAATTACCACGTGAACTACTCACTGAAAAACACGACCAAGACGAAAGCTATCATAATCCAGACCCAACATCTCCACTTTGAATGAGTGTGTTCTTCCAGTTTTAAAGATTCCTTCTTCAATTTAACAGCATTGACATCCGTCAATTTATCCGACTTTTCTAGCATACCGATGTCCTTTTTTATGATAGCACTCGCTGCTAATGCATGTTCCTTTATGTTACTAGTCATAGAAAGCATATTTTCCGCGATCTTTTCCTGTATGTTACGATTATATTTCAGGATAGCATCTAAATCTTCATCTTGAATGTTAGAGTTCGATAGTCTCTGTCGCACACCATCCTTGTTTATGCCTGTAACATGTGACAGATTTAATATCGAACACAATATGTAAGAACGTGTTACAACCATATACTTAGGTCTCAAAGAAAATTACCCTTGTCAGAATGAAATAACTCTCCACGTAATTCACGACTGTATTTTGCAATGGTCTTCTGATGTATTTGCGTTGTAATATTTGTACTAGCAGAATCATTCACCAAAGTTGAATTCTTCGATAGCAATTGCACAGCAGCTACTCTTTCTACTGGATTCGACAATTTCATTGCGTTTATCACTCCTTTCAAAAAGTCTATCCGTTTGGTATAACTCATCATAGAATCTTTGGATGGTTTACTGTAACAAAAAGTCAACTTCAGCACTGAATTATTTATTAGTGTTTGTGAATATCTAAAATAAAGTATAGAAATATATTAGTTGTAAAAGTAATAATTTATATAATTACTACATCATAAGCGGTTGAAGATATTACTTTGGTAAAGTCTGTAGCTTATTCATCATGTCATCCAGAGCAAGTATATACTGAAACAAAGGATTTGCATGTAAAACAAAGAGCTTGCTTTACAATATTTTTACAGAAATATATCTAAGAGAGACTTATATATTTAATTGGTTCTTTGACAAACAATTTTTGATTTTCATACCTTATTAGAAATGATATCTATAAATATTATAAGATATACATAATTACATAAAGCAAATTTTCACATCATATGTTATCTTTAACAGTTATTGTATGCTTGTGTAGCGCCATTGATAAATGATAATGAATGAAACCATAACAGAATGTAGAGGTTAGCAAAAACAAACGTCTAACAGCTTGTGGGAGAACCTTTTCGAGTTTCCAGTCTTTATGAGGGTCATCTTTCGCTATTAGTTCGCAGCGTGTCAGAAGCCGCCTGACATTTATTTCCAGCCTAGACATTTGAGTCATCGTTGCTAATTTACCCCGGACACGAATGGAGAACCTTACGCTTTCCTCAGCATAGGTTCATTGTACAGATGTCAGCAGCTGTTGTTGATACCTTTACGTATAACCTGACAGATTGCTCATGAGAGGGCGTGTGCGTAGACGTGCAGCATTTAAATATTTACTCTGTCATATTTACTGAATTTATCCAATTCAAATAATAAATCAATTAATAAATCAAATCAATTCAATTCATTGCATTTATCCAATTAAATTGATGAATCGCAATATGATGTTATAACATTTTATTTAATTATACTCCAAAATGCTTACACATATTTGTATAAACTATAACATAGTAGAAACAGAATTGATGATGATTAGTCGCATGTCGTGATAATTTAAGATTCAAATTTATACAAAGTTATATTGGCGGGAAAAATGTGAAATATTTTATTATTATGAAATATTTTATAATTATTATAAGTACTTAATGACAAATTTTGAAAAAAATCGAATATTTTCTATCGTTTCTAATGAACTTCAGGAAAATTTCGCACATGAAGCATTTAATGACTTCAGTATATAAATATGAACGCAGAACGTTGAAGTCGTTTTAACTTTTCCCGTTTTTCTTGTTTATTTACATCAATATTGATACATTTTGCACAATTTTATCGTTTTTTGCATATTCTTGTTTTTTGCATTTTCTTATTTTACCACTGAGTTTATACTTGAAAAAATGTTTTTTTTTCATTTTCCGTCGAAGATCTTTCCAAACTTCAACCACATACCTCTATCCTTGAACATATCTTTTTAACTAGTCCACTGCATCTTATTATATTGAGCTTGAATGATGTTCCATACAGACTAAAGGGTTGAGTCGAAGTTTAAGATATTTTCGATTGTTCAAAGGCGGAAGGGACAAAGAAGAGCGGAGAGAACAATCGATCATGCCATCTTGGATTCACGGACATCGGCTGCCATTGTCGAGAACAGCACGTTTTCGTCAACTCAGCAAAGTTCGTCCTCAGAGTCGTTGAGCGGGATTTCCTCGTCGAACATAAACTACGTAAGATTTTCCTGAAGATATGCGAACCGTAGCAGCAAATTTTCCTGAAGATAAGTGAACCGTAGCAGCGATCCGCGCGATGCAAAGTGGGGGCTGTGAATTGGCAGCTAGGAGCGGGACGAATGGCGCTGCGAGGAGACGCCGTCAGTCTTACCGACGCGTCAGTTGCGAGTCGTCGAGTCTGTGGAGCGGCAGCGATCTTGGGAACGGATCAGCGGCAGCAACATGGTGAAGCAGAACGGCGAGGAATACGATGAGGGTGCGCAGGAGCGGATGCTCAAAGAGGACAGCGCCCAGAAGATCACCACGAAAGAGTCCACAGAGGTGAAGATTGTTTCCCTTAGCTTTTCTCGCTTTTCTCTCTCTCTCTCTCTCTCTCTCTCTCTTGTTGCCTGTCGACACTCGTCATCGAGTCGTTGCTTCGTTTCCTGACCTGAAGGGAAACAATGATTCCTAAACCTTGTGAAAGCATGATGTTGCAAATGTAACGATAACTGGGACAAAGTGGTCTTTTTTCACGCATGTCGAATTTTAGGAAGCGATATCGGCTTCTAATCTTGTAATGGTTGATTTTCTTCCTTCTATTAGTGAATAAAAAAGCTCGGCGCGCGTCGGGTACTTACCATATGTATGAATCATCGTGCTTTAGCAGGAAAGTGATAGTAAAATCTTATTTGAAATATAATTTCTGCTCTTTATTCACGAGTAAATTATGCTTGAGCTTGTTCTCCAAGATCTCGCGCAAGTGAGAAGCGCCCATCGCGTTTCGTAACGGTCACGCCTATCTCGCCATTGAGACGAGACCATCGATCGCACTCGCGATTAACGTGGCGGTGATGAAAGAGCTTTTGGCACGGTATGTCGAGCTTGTTTTAGCACTCTGGTCATTAAGACACAATGGCATTGTTCATAATATGCTTTCAGGAACACAGGCTTGCTTCTGACGCACTTGGTAGAAATTTTTTTGCTTCTGCTTCTTGTTGATACAGATATGAAATTGTTGTTTTCAATTGCGGCCTATTGAGCTCTGTGGATAAGCACATCTTTGCTAGAATTTCGTCATATATGATAAGGAGACCTCAATTTTTTCTGAGATAAATTGGCGGGTCTCCAATATGGAAATATTCATTCATGAAATTTATATTTCATTAGTTATTTTTCTTTCTTTGCTTATCTAGCATGTGCATATGCATATATGGTTTGTCGCAATTATATGATATACTTTAAATATTGCTTGAAAAGGAACAATAAATATGTGTAAAACATGAAAGATTATTTGTACAGCAAGTTAGCGACAAGAAATGCTTAATATGTACACATTTTGAGAGAACTTTATCCACTTGTGATTTAAGAAAAAAATAAACGTATAAAAAGTATACAAGTTGTGACTTTTGAGTGCTTAGCTACAGCAAGTACTTGATTAATTTACTTGATTAAGCATCTTGAAAAATTAATAACCGTTGTCAGTCATTGTGTCGTCCTACAATTGTTCTGTAATGTTATTTAAATTTGTCTCTTATTCAAGTTATTTTACAATGTATAATTTTCCGACAGGTAAAATTTATCTCGGAGAATGGCGACGCCAAGATCGATATTGGAGTAGTAAATCAGGCCTCGGCGATGGGCAAGGAAGAACTGATGAAGTTTGTTAATGATCCGTTCTGGGTGAAATTGAGATGGGCCCTGTTCATCGGTTTCTGGTTACTGTGGGCTGCAATGTTGGCTGGTGCTATTGCCATTATCGTAATGGCGCCTAAGTGCTCGGCGCCTGAGCCGAAGAAGTTGTGGGAGGAAAGTCCGATTGTTAGTTTAGAGACCTTGGATAGTCCCACCAACGACTTGAGGGGATTGAAACCTATATTGTACGATCTGAAAGAGCGACATATTAAAGCCGTATCCGTCGCATCGTTGGTGAAAGAAAATCCAGATGGTACGTGTAAATTGAAAAAAAAAAATATGCAATACATTTGATATAAATTATTTTGTACGGAAGATCTCAATCGTATGTGTTTTCTTAAGACAGGATAATACACGAGTGACGTTAAAATTACATTCTATTGCAGGAGGGATCGAAGATTTCAGATCTATCAAGCCGGAATTAGGAGGCATCAGTGACTTGGAAGATCTCATCAAGGTGGCGAAGGAAGAGGGTCAGCAAATCTTCCTGGAGTTGGATCCCAATCATTCCTCCGTGCAGCATCCGTGGTTCAAACGGTCGGTCGAGAAGGAAGACCCGTTCACGTCCTATTATGTCTGGGCCGATGGAATAACTACTGCCGGAAGACTAAGTCCCCCTAATAATTGGGTAAGCTCTGATCGCGCGGCATCAAAGGTCTTATCGACCTTGTAAGAGGAGATTATTGAACGTGTTTTTTTTTTCTTTTGTTTACAGTTGAGTGTATACGGCGAATCTGCATGGGAGTGGAACGAACAGAGGGGCCAATATTACCTTCATCAATTCAATAAGACGCAACCCGACTTGAATTACAACAATCCGGACGTAGTACAAGAGTTCGGAGTGAGTACATTGCGCTTTTTGTCTAAACGATCGACTCGAACGATTATCTCGCTTCGTTAAAGTGTCTCACGTTCTTCATGTGTCTTTTCAGGACATTCTGGCTCACTGGTTGAAACTGGGGATCAGCGGTTTCCGTCTGGCGAACACTCAGTACTTAACGGAAGACCCGGACCTCCGTGACGAGTCCAGGAGCATCCTTCCAGTAGAGTCGAATAATTATCAATCGCTGGTACACATTCACACGCGCAATCGCCCGGAGAACGCGATGGTGCTGATGAAATGGCGAGAGATTGTTCGCAACGCTACCGATGGGAAGGGGTACGTTGAAAGTCCTCGCTGCTGCTCACGCTATCACTACGTGTCTTCATGTTGGTCGGCTAACACACGTCATCGGCATTCATGTTGCAGATTGTTCACGTTGCAAGACGACATCGGGGCCGATATGCTGCAGGTGTATAATCAGAAGAACCCGCTGATTGATCTGCCGCAGAGCTCGCACTTCCTCACCGTTGCGAACGCGAGCATAAACGCCACGGTGCTGCATAAAAGCATATCACATTGGATCGAGATCGCGCCATGGCCCGCGTGGAACGTGAGTGTCCCTGAGCAAAGTTGACCTTTGTAAGCTTACACTTGTAACCGTACACCTTTACCATGTAACCTTATAGCTCTCTTCGACTTTTCTATCAAGTCGAGGGTTGGGAGAGTTATTTTTTAAAAGTAACTCGTTCTCGTTTGGCAAGTGTAGTTATGCGCGTTGCGTACGATTGCAGGTGAATGGCAAGGTGCGCACGATACGAGAACGTATGCCCAACGACGTCGCGGACAGCATAACGTTGATGACCATGTTGTTGCCGGGCACGCCGATTTTTCAACTGAGCGACGTTAGGTCCACGAAGGATGCCTTCACGATTCTCGCAAAAGTTCGAAGTATGCCGACTTTCCTCTACGGGGACACGATGACTAGAGTTGTGAACGAAACCGTCTTTGTGTATACGAGGTAAACGTTGCGACAATGTACCCGTCGATAGGCGCAACAGTTGCGTCAATTTTGAAATTGCATTAACGTGAAATTTAACATGGTTAAAGGGGATTCTCTCGACGCACTTGAGTTTCTTTCTGAGATCTGACTTAACAGTAACAATTAACGTAATATGTACTATTAACTATTCGCCAAGATTCAAGACTAACCGAAGAATAACTTACCACACATACTTACGACATGAATGAATAGTGGTAGCTGATTGGATAATTGAAATTATTCTCGTACAATTAAGCCCGTACCGAGGTACTCTCGCAAGTCCCGGCCCGCATTCCCGTCGCGTTTAGTGATAAATATGTATTTTAATTCGTGTCTCGTTATGAAGCACAGTTTTCTTATTAGACGAATAAATCACTGTGTAGATCTGAGAATACGGGCTTTTATATGCGAGTTGATATTTCAACGCAGAGTTATTGTTACAATAGACTAATTGAATATTAACTTGTCCATGTTCTATGCTTCCTCCCACATGGTACAGGATTGGGTAAGTTCACGTACTAACCTATTTACGCTTCGCTGTAAAAACTTTATTGCATGCAATGAAATAATATGATGAACTAACTAATGAGAGATATTAATACTTATAATACATTTTTATCGATTTATATTTTGCATTATATACATTCGGCAAGGTCGGGTCTGTTCTTTTTAGTTGCACTTTCTTGCATTTTCTTGCAATTTTTCTCCTTGCCTCTCCTAAATCTCAAATCTACAGCTGAAAGGAACGGACCTATGCTTGAGAATAAAATCCAAAAGAGAGAAGTGCACGATAAGAAATAAAATGCTAAATCTTTCAGTGGTAAATTTTCAGGTTAAAGAGCGGTAATCCGGGATATCTGGTAGCATATCATACAGGGGATGATTCAGTTGTCATAGACTTATCCAGTATACCGCACATGTCAGAAGAAGTCAACGTGGTTGCGTCTAGCCCTAACTACGTTCAAGACGGGGAAGAAATACAGTAAGCATTTCTCTTTGTGACATTCTGTAAAAAAAAATGTTCATTTCTCTTTCGAATCATGTTTTATTTAATATGTCACAGTACAATATATATTACCAAATATACTATGTTAATAAAAATTTAGCGTACTATACATTTAATTATATACTAATGTTGAAACTTTATGATACGCAGGAAAAAGTTGTATTCCAACAAAGTGCCAATGTTACCGAAGAGCACGTTGGTTCTAACGTTTGTGCAAAAGGAGTAATTTGCACGAAGAATACGATATACTTTAGATGCAAAACCAGCGGCCATATATATTACGCCGTTTTTGTCCCAATATGCAAGCAAATAAATATATATAATTGACATATTAATATAAAAAAATCAACCGAGTTATTTTATCCAAAGTAAAGTATGTTTATATCTAAGTTCTTGTGACGTATATTGATATCATTTATATGTTTATCATAATGTGATAAATCTTGGTACAATAATACTGCAGATTTGCGTTCTTTATGATATTCGCACATATATCGCACATTTGACGTAAATGGATTAAAAGTAAATGAATTAATCAATATTCGAAACGGAACTTCGATAATATGACGATCTGAGTTGGTTGGTTGCTAATGGCTCCGTTCAGCAGAGAAAGTAGCTCAATGAGCGTCTAATAATTATTATTTCTGATTGGTACTGGACCTATCAAAGGATTAAAGATATTTTAAGCACAATAATCAGTAAACATTCATTAAACTACTTTCTCTACTGACCGCAGGATGAAATCTAACTGCGTTAGAGGTCCTGTCTTCGGTCTCTGATAGATCTAGATGTGAACTTTCAATTCTAACATGTTTTCCTATCAGTCATGTTCGAAAAATATTTATTCTACTTATTCTAATA